GTTGTCGGTTTGACTCCGTGGACGTTTCCACAGATGTGCGGGGCTTCATGAGCGCTGAGGTTTGTGACATCAGTGGGATTCAAACTCCCGCTGATGTCAGAAACCGCCTTTTTAACACAGTTGTGTTAAAAGTTATATCTAAAGGATGAAAACGTAACAAGAAATGTTTATTGTGGTGGAGGCCGTCCGCCACGAGCCCGCCGACACTCACCTCCACAGCAGTAGTGTGTGTGAGTCGCTCGGACCTGCTGCAGCAGACGCTCCATGGCCTCGATGTGGCCCCGCCTCCTGGGTTCCCGGCCATCGCTCTCCCGCCAATCTGGACAAGGAAGCACAGGACAAATGAAGGAACTGAGCGAATCTGCGAGAGCTCCAGTCCGCCTCAAACGTTGTAACGTGTCAGCGTGGACTCAGGTGCAGCGCCGACCTGCTGTTCTCATGTCAGTGCAGACTCAGACAACTTTGAAATGTCGTTCACAGAAAAAACTAAAGTCTAACACATGTGAGCAGACAGGAGAACAAGAACGGCTCCAAAGTCTGTTTGTGTGAAGCTGCAGAATGAACTAATGGATGTCAAGCATCTGTAGAGGTGCAGTCGTGCTTTCACTCTGTTTAAAACAAACACCCACACACTTTCTGCTTCTGACATATGCACACACACACACACACACACACACACACAGCTCAAGGCTGAAGCTCCGATGTGCAGGAAACAGAAAGCGAGTCGTGACAGAGCGATGAAATCGATTTTCCCGAGGACGTCAGAACAGGATGTTCACATGATTCACAGCAGACGCACACTTCAGCCTCGACCACGGGAACAGACCCTGCAGGTTCACACCGCACCAACTTCCTGTTTTATGTGACAACATTCTCATGTATTTGTGCTTCGTCACACGTCACGCCGGCTCTGCTGACGGCTGATCCTTCGTTCGGGTTTCCTTGATTCCCGCAGGTTGTCCCCGGCCTCTGACTGCAGGTCAAAGTTCAGCCGAAGAGTCCACATGGCCCTGTGAGCGTCTCTGAGGTCCTCTGGTCACCAACAACATCTCATCGTCTGCTGACAATCTCCTCGTTCTTCCATCGTCGGAATCTCACATCTTTAAGCTCATCACAAACTCTCCACAGATGTAACAAATGAGCGAGTGAGTAGTTTCAACCGATCTCACCTTTAATTAAACCAAAGCTAGCCTCCTACACGTATATCAGCATCTAGTTACTCCCCAGAGAAAGTAATCTGTTACTGTTGTTTGTGGGAGGAGCTAGAAGTCATTCTAAACCCACAGGTGGCGAAATATCTGCAGCCTCACATGAAACATGTCCTCCACCGTCATATCTAACCCGACTGCAACAAACCAGTTTACCCCACCACGTCAATCTGTTCTCTGCAGGCCTGCAACAGTGGCTCTGCAACATTTACATGATGCATTATTCAGCAGAGGAATTTAAACCAGGCTGAAACAGCTGCTGCACAAAGAGGTTAAACTCCAGAGTCACAGAAAAGCGGCGAGCTGCTGACATGGTGAGGTTAATGGAAAAATATGGAGAGAACTTACTGGATGGAGCTGCAGACGGAGGGAGGGAGGAGGCGGGCGGACCCCAGCCCTTCATGTTATAAGCCGACACTCGAACGTAGTAGAGCCGACCCTGAAAAGCAGAAACCATCTGTTAGAGTGAAGAGGCGAGTTTGGAGGAAACAAATCACTGAAAATAACTGTGTCAACAAAAGTATGTGGACACTTCCACTGTAGGAAACCAGCATTCTACCCTTTAATGTGTCCACATACTTTTGTCTTTTTATCCTGCCTCCTGTTATTAATGTGTCAGGACGGACTGAGCTGTTTCTCGCTTTTCATCCCTCAGACGTCGGTTGATGTGATGACTTTGAGCTCCCACTGAGGTCGTGTTGAGTGCTGTGAAAGCGTCTGCGCAGCTTTTCACCAAACTCATTCGTCTGCTTATTCATGCTCTTAAAGCTGGAACATTTCCGATGTGCACGTCTGAAAAAAGTTTTCTAAAGGTTTGAAGAGGTTTCTTTATTTTCTCTGGCAGCCTGTCCTTGGAAAAAAACCCAACAAACTCTGACAGTAATTTTTACTGCTTTATATCATCAGGACACTTTGTGGAAACAAACCTTTGCTGCTGTAAAAGTTCATGAAAGCGTAAGTGCTTTAACATTTCAGGAAATTTCCTTTCAAATGTCACTCTGCTGCTCGGTTCAATTTGGGTTTTAATTGGAGCCCCCCTGTGTGCTCCGCCCCCTTCTGTTCATCCGCACAGACAGCAGCTCAGAGGAGGTCTGCAGAAACCATCATCATCATCATCATCATCAACAGCCGACTGCTCGCCTTCAGCCAACGTAACGAGGACAAGAAACGTCTCCACAGAAAACATACAGCAGTCGTAAGAGGAGCAGTCGACTCCACCCGAGCAACACGAGCAACACGTTTGCTTTCAGGCTCGCACTGAATCAGCTGACCTCATCCAATCAGAGCAGGGTGCAGCTTTTTCACCGACAGCGGCCTCGATCCCTGAAACCGAACGACGGAGCCTCCGTTAAATCAAACTTATGACTTTAACCCAATATCACTCAGGTTTCT